CCTGTGTGCCCTGTACCCTGTGCCCCCCATCCCTGCGTGCACTGCACCCCATGCAACTCCATGCACCCCATCCCCGCGTGCACTGCACCCTGTGCACCCCCACTTCTGTGCCCTGCACCCCGTGCAACTCCATGCACCCCATCCCTGCGTGCCCTGCACCTGCTGTGTGCACTGCACCCACTGCAGCACCCAGCACCCTGTCCGCGCATGCACTGCACCCCGTGCAACACCGTGGGCCCCATCCCTGTGTGCACTGCACCCTGTGCACCCCATCCCTGCATGCACTGCACCCCGTGCAGCACCGTGCACCCCATCCCTGCGCACTGCACCCTATGCACCCTCACTTTGGTGCTCTGCACCCCATGCAACTCCGTGCACCCCATCCCTGTGTGCACTGCACCCTGTGCACCCCATCCCTGCGTGCCCTGCACCCTCTGTGTGCACTGCACCCCCTACAACACCGTGGGCCCCATCCCTGTGTGCACTGCACCCTGTGCACCCCCACTTCTGTGCCCTGCACCCTGTGCACCCCATCCCTGCGTGCACTGCACCCCGTGCAACTCCATGCACCCCATCCCCGCATGCCCTGCACCCGTTGCGTGCACTGCACCCGCTGCAGCGCCCAGCACCCTGCCAGCGCATGCACTGCACCCCGTGCAACACCGTCATCCCTGTGTAATGTCCCTGTGCAATGTCCCCGTGCTACATCCCCATGCAACATCCCCGTGCAATGTCCCTGTGCAACGTCCCCATGCATTCCCTGTGCAATGTCCCCGTGAAACGTCCCCGTGCAATGTCCCCGTGCAACACCTCCATGCAATGTTCCCGTGAAATGTCCCTGTGCAACATCCTCATGCAACATCCTCATGCAATGTCCCTGTGCAACGTCCCCATGCAATGTCCCCATGCAACGTCCCCGCACAGTGTCCCCGTGTATTCCCCATCCAACACCATGTGTGATGCCCATGCAACATCCTGTGCAATGCCGTGTGCAACGCCCCATGCAACACCCTGTGCAACGCCCGTGCAACACCCCATGCAACGCCCGTGCAACGCGCCGCAGGGCTCACTCCGCCGCAGTGCCGTGGAGGCCCAGAAGCGGGGGCCCAGGTCACGGCAAGCCTGGCGCCGAGCTTCGGCGCGCTGCGCCCAGGCCGTGCCGTTGTTGAGGACAGAGGCCACCTGGCCGGCGACGGTGTGGGGGAGCC